ATTGATGTTTCTCTCCCTTTCTTCCTCTTTCCCTTCTCTCTAAAAATAAATAAATAAAATCTTTTAAAAAATGTTAAATATGGAGTGCCCATAGGACCCAGCAACTCTACTCTTTGGTATATGCCCAAGAAAAACAAAAACATGCCCACACAAAAAACATGTACAAGAATGCCCACAGAAGCATGATTCACAATAGCCAAAAGGCAGAAACAACCTAAGTGTCCATCAATTGATGAATGAATAAACAAAATGTGCATACCTGTACAATGAAGTATTACCTGGGCATAAAAAGGAATGAAGTTATAATATATACTACAACGCAGATGAAACCAAAAAACATTTGCTCAGTAAAAGTAGCCAATCACAAAATGCCACATATTGTGTGATCCCATTTATATGAACTATTTGGAATAGACACATCCAGAGACAGAAAGTAGAGTAGTGGTTGCCAGGAGCTGAGGGAGCAGGGTAGGGAGTGGCTGCTGATGGGCACAGGGTTTCTTCTTGGGATGATGAATATGTTCTAAAATTGACTATGGTGATACTGCACAACTGTGAATATACTAAAAACCATTTTTATGGCATATAAATTATAACTCAATATGAATTTTTTAAGTAAACTTTTATAGAGTTAAAAAAATAGTCAAAGACCAAAGGCAAGGAAAATATCCAATGAGATGGACTGTAATTGAAAATTAGGGTGTCAGTAAGAATTCATGATTTCTAAAATGTCTACTTCCTAGATATGAATGGGCCTAGAAGCAATGACACCCCCATAGTAATGAGTATTCACAGAGCCCAAGTCTGAGTTTCTAACACTGTTTGCCACTAAAAGGAATCAGAGCTCCCTGAAGAAATGGCTGATCCAGGACTGACCCAGACAGAAACAAGCTGAGACTGAAATATCTTATTGTGCCAAAAAGCAAGACAGTCCACCCCCCCCCCACAAAAAAAGATGGGGCATGCCACAAGAACACAGAGCCACTTTGCAAGACTGCTACTAGCCAAGTCCATGACAACATCAGCATCCAAATAAGGATAGCACTGAACTATATATATTAGGTTTGCCAAAAAGTTCATATAGTTTTATTCCATAAAATACGCCTTTTTCATCTTCACCAATAATTTCATTGACTTGGCTATTTTGAGTACATCAGCTATCTCCCCCATGTGGTAGAATGTTGATAGTTCTTAATTAATGTCTTGATTTGATCACTATCAACTTTAACTGGTCTATCTGACCATGAGCATTGTCCAGCAAGAAATTTCCAGCACAAAACTTCGCAAACCACTTTTGACAAGTCTGATCAGTCATAGCACCTTTTCCATACACTGCAGAAATTTTTTTTTGCTTATTAGTTGTGTTTTTACCTTTCTTGAAATAATAAAGCGTAATATGGTGAAAATGTTGTCTATTTTCTTCCATCTTCAATATTAAAATGGCTACACAAAAGTTCACCAATTTTGATAATCTTCTTTAAATGCACACTGATTTAACAGCTGTCACAATATAATCTAACAAAACTGTTTCAAATGAAGTAAGACAACTAAGTACTACAAGAATCATCATATGGAAAAAAACAAACATTTTGGCCAACCTTTTGTCAACCCAATAAATATCACTGAAAAACAGAAACCTACAAGTCCACATAAAGATGAAAGGATGGAAGGATGATGGGTAGATGGGAAGAAAAGCCTCTCGGAGTGGAATGAGACTTCCAAATGTGCAGGGGTTAGAAGAAGGGGGCTGAAAAATTACCATTTGCAATGAAAATACAGATTGGTTCAGGCAAGAATGATCCACAGATGTAAAACCTGAGGGTGGGAATAAGGTGCAGGATATTTGCATGGTCATAAAGTGTCTGCTTACTGACTGCTCATTAGTTGTAAGGTGAAAACCAGTCAATACACAGTGGCGAATATGAACAGCACCTTGGTAGGTGATAAAAATCAACATCGCCAATGAGGTCAGGTGAATATTGGATGTCTCCAGGTTTAATACATGGAGAAAGGCAAGGAAGTACTCCATGAAGTGTTTTGGCTTGAAGTGCTGACTTGAATCCTTCAGACAAATTCAAAGTGAGAAATGTTCTCTTAAGAAAACACCTGGCTCTACATTCTGCAACAGTGTCAATATGATGAAAGACAGAGGAGACTGAGGGACACAACTAAATGCCACATGTGATTCTAAATTAAAACAAGCACCAGAGAATAACATGCTACATAGGACATTATGGGGCCAGTTAACACAACTGAAATATGAACAGTTAAAATTTAAGAGAACAGTATCAATGTTAAACTCTTGACTTTGATAACAATATTGTGTTTACACAGAGAAAATCTTTGTCTTAGGATATACACAATGGACAGTATTAGAAATAAAGGGCAGGATGAAGACAATCTACTCTCAAACAATTCAGAAAAAATAATACAGAAAATTTACAACTCGTGAATTTGGGTAAAGAGTGCATGAGAAGTTTCTGTATTATTATAATGTTCCATAAGTTTAAAGTTTTTCACAGTAAAAGTTAACAACATATTTATATAAAGTAAAAGAACAAACTATAACACAGATGCTGCAGTGGAAGCCTCCGCTTGAAGGGTAAGGGAAAGAAAGTCTGCTTCTCCTTACAGGACTTGTCTGAAAAAGTCCTTGCCCCTTCTCAGACTCTGTGTTCCTTTTTCCTCTTTCAGCTCCAGAAGTCCCTGAACAAGGTGATGAGGTTGAAAACTGAGGAAATAAGAGAGCAATAAAGCAAAAACTGAAATGACATAGTGAGGAGGGTAAGGCATCATGGAAGGCCTGGCGTGGCTATGCAGCAGCTCCTATGAGGTACAGCTGGGCTCCTCCATCCTCAACAAAGAACAACAGAATGGGGAAGTCACAGAGGAGGTCCAATCAGAAACATTCCTTCCACTGTCCCCCCGAAGTGCCTCAGAAATGTGAAAAGCAGGCAATATGTTCAAGAATATGTGCTGGCTGATTCAGAGATGAGATCTTCATACCACACTAAAAAGAGCAGGGCTTCAAACACAGCAACTCCCACTGAGAACAGGTCATGTATGTTCTAGGACAAGTCATCAAATCAGTTCAGTGACCTTCGCTTGGGTGTTTTAACAAGGGCAGTGTAGTTTCCCAAATGACCTTCCACGAAGGCACTAGGAAAGCAATTTCATGTGTCAGTTGTCCTATATTCATGTAGACCATTACACTTTCCATTACATTACACTTTATTTGTGCCTCACAGCAACACAGAAGGAAGTATACAGGAAAGTGTAAAAAAGAAAGTCTTCTACAGATGTAATAGACACTCAAAGGAACTATTATCCCACACAGACTTATCTCTATCAACATTTTTGAGTGTACAGCATTATCACTTTTAGGTATTCTAAAAAAAAAGAAAAGCATTAAGAGAGAGAACATAAAACATCTTCCCTGTGTTGACATCCATTGTGTCAAGCAAAATGAGTGCTACGGGAACCAGAGTATCTAAGATTCCTTAGTGAGATGTGAAATCCCAATTCCTTAATCTTACTAGATTTTAAAAATCTTACTGAGATCAAAAACCTGCTGAGGGTTCTTTGGTGCCTACATAGTGGTTGCTCAATAAATTCAGATTCTACTAAAAGTAAATCTCCCAAAGAGGCAAAAGCAAGGTTTAGATTTTTTTAAACTTCAGTTCCTGGATCAAGCTCACTATATTGCTTGACTTCTCTGGCTTACCAGGTGAACTGTATAAACAGAAAACACACCATTTTGCAAGAAATCTGCTCCCACCCCTTTTCAACCTATAAGGCAAAAATCCACTTGGACTGCATTACTGAAGAGGAGCATAAGCCCTCCCAGGCTCAGCTCCCACACAAGTTGGGCAGAGTATACTTCACCCTGGGAATCCCTGTCTTCACTAATTATGAAGAAAACTATATATATACTCAAAATGCCAAAAAGGCTTTCATTATTTTTTATATAGAACTTGGAAAACTAAATGGAATCTATCCATATTCTAAAAGGCAATAACATCAATATATTTATATGGTCCTATAATTTGTTTGCAGGAGCCCACCTCATGAATTTCTATACAATGGAATTTTGACCACATTTTCAAAGGGTAGGGAAGATAATGTTACAGCTTTAAATCTTTCTAACAGCTTCAGTGTCAAGTACTTCAAGATCTATAAATACTTAAATGCAGATAGTCTAGAAACTCTGAGAAAAACCCTTGTAATGTAAAATACTCATTCTTGTTTTCAATACAAGAATAGCATATTAATTTTGGTAATTTACCTAGTTCATTATTCCATAACTCATGGAGATAGTTTTTTCTAAAGAAAGAGTCATGTATTTATAGGTAACTTGCCTGGACTCTACATTTGCAGGGGTGCAAGTTGGGGCACCATGAAGATGGGGCTTAGGGGAAGGAACACAGACAGAGCCAGCTGTACACGCTGCTTAAAAGGAAGGGTAAATGATCTCAATGGATGCTTTTTGCCAGACAAGAAGGGGAGGCAAACACTGATCAGAATGGTCAAAAGTATTGTCAAGTTTATCCTGTTCTAAATACCAAAAGAACATGCAGATTCTATTGGACCTATAAACAACAATTAGGGAAAGGAAAATGTATGGAGGCAGATAGCCTCACCAGGGAAAAGAAAACAATTATGTGTTTATTCCAGTGAAACAGAGTTAAAGAAAAAGAGTAATCTGGAGTAGGATAGAAGAAGGAAAGGATCAGAAATATAAAAGGACTGGCTTTCACTTGGACCTGTGTGGTATTTGCTCTGTTATTGTTCACACACATCTTCCTACCCATGGACAATAACAGTGGATAAATGCCAGCCATGCTTATCCAATTACAAACCATAACATCACTGTCACATTCTTCACATTCCCCAAAGCACTGACAAAATACTTGAACCATTGTCACCCATTCCAGACAGTTATTTACTCTCTCTTCACTGCAAAGTCATTATGAAGAACACAGGGGTAAAGCTTCACTTACATGGTTAATGAAGAGACTCTTCCGTTTTTCTCTCACTGTGAAAACAAAAGATGAAATAAAAATGTTACATGCCTGCATGACAACCCCTTACAGGTTACCGAGGGCTATGCCTCTGTGTCATGATCCCATCCTCCCACCAACCAACATACCCAATTGCTCCGTAACCAAATATAAGAATATGTGACCTGCACAATGCAGATCTGAACCTGATTAACAAAGCAAAATACACACCCATTTATTTAAAATATGGCATGCTAAAAAAGTAAAAGTAGCTATAATTAACCAAAGGGTAACACTCTTCCAATAACTTAACAAAATATTAATTAGTAAATGCCATAAAACTTCTATGCATCCAGTAATTTAATTTAAAATAATTAACAAATAAGAGGTCAATTGATTTCTAAACAGAGCAGATCCACAAAGGTCCATACTATAAGGTGAAAGATAAATAACAATGCCCATCACAACATTAAGATACAGGACAAAATATGCTAGAATCGTTACCAGCATGGAAACCAATTCCTCTCTCTCTGTGCTGGGTGCTGGGAAATAAAGCTGGACTTCTGTCTAGGAGGCCTGATGGGGCCTCTAATAGCACCCTCACCCTCGTATAAGATGAAAAAAAATCACAATACAAGATACCATCCTATCTCAGAGATGGAGACCTTGGTGTTTCTCAAAATGGATTCTCAGCCCAAGATGTACCAGGTTGATAAGGAACCCTAAGGAGCTTTTTCATAACCTGATGTCATCAAACTTTGCATTTTCTTTCCTGAAGACCTACTTTAGAGGATATATACTAATTAACACATTTACTGAGTAGGTAACTTTAGGAGACAGAAAGAATAGGTTTCCTTCAAAGAGGTGACCAATAATGCCACCTTGGGGTATCCTAAAATGCTAGGTACAAATCCAGCTTATCCTTTCAGTAGTCCTGCCCTGCCCCCACCCTCACAGTCCACCTCCCAAATGCTAACTCTAGTTTCAAGCTCTCTGTCTGATCTGAGGAATAGAAATTGTTATTTTTTAAGATTTTATTTTTATTTTATTTTTTGGAGAGAGGGGAAGGAAGGGAGCAAAACATCAATTTATGTTTGCCTCTCATGCGCCCCCTACTGGGGATGTGGCCCACAACCCAGGCATATGCCCTGACTGGGAATAGAACCAGCGACCCTTTGGTTCGCAGGCTGGCACTTGATCTACTGAGCCACACCAGCCAGGGCATGGAAATTTTTTCCTAGTTTACATTCTGTTCAATTTCCTTAGAAGTCCTATCCTAGCTGAAATGATTTTGTCCCTCTTCCTACCTCAAAGATACCCTGGAGTACAAAAGTAAAAAACAGCCTGAGGGTATTCTTGGGAGAAGGTGCCCATAGGCCATCAGCTGGATCCATCCACAGGCCACTGGCATACACCAACCACAGAGAGAGTATAGGCCACCTGGCCACAAACCTGAGGCCAGACCAGCACACCAAAAGCTCTCTAGAGTGCACAGACAACAGCTGTGGACTATGTCTGGTGAGACAGTGAAGAGGTTGCACGATTACTCTCTTTTTTAATTTTTAAAAAGATTTTATTTATTTATTTTCAGAGAGGAAGGGAAGGAGAGAAGGAGAGAAATATCAATGTATGGTTGCCTCTCATGAGTTCCCTGCTGGAAACTGGCCTGCAACCCAGGCATGTGCCCTGACTGGGAATCGAACCGCGATTATGTGGTTCACAGGCCCACACTCAATCCACAGAGCTACACCAGCCAGGGCGCATGACTACTTTTGACCTAACTCGAAATAAGCATGCACAGGTAAACCATAACAATAAAAAAAAAAAAAAAAAAAAAGAGCTGTTGAGAAGCACTGGGTTTTAACTATCTGGCACTATACAACTCTGTGTGCATATGTATCTGTTCACATGTATCTGTGCACATGCGTATCTTCCTTAAATTATTTCAATACTAAATTACTGTGCATCTAGTCAGGTTTGCTCAACCTGGAAGCATGCTCATGGTAGCATGATGGCATCTTTTTATGGTGATTTCCCATGGGCTGAGCAGACCTGAGAACACTTTCTACACAGGCAGCAGACCTAAAATCCCACAAGTGACACTTAGCCTTTCTGAGGATATCCAATAGGTACGTGCATGAATAGGTATGTGCTTTCTGTCTCCCAATTACTGGAATGGTCTCCAAGGTCACCTTGTCACCCACCTCCAATAGATAAAAGATATTCATCCATGTCTCAAGAAATATTATAGCTTCTTTTTTTTAAGATTTTATTTATTTATCTTTAGAGGGAAAGGGAAGGAGAGAGGGAGAGAAACATCAATGTATGGTTGCCTTTCGTGCGTCCCCTGCTGGGAATTGGCCTGCAGGGAACTGGCCTGTAACCCAGGAATGTGCCCTGACAGGGAATCGAACCACGATTGTCTGGTTCACAGGCCCGTGCTCAATCCATTGAGCTACACCAGCCAGGGCTAATATTATAATTTCTTAATGGTTAATAAGATTACAAATTATTCGAAATTAAGAAAGGATTGAAATGTAGACTCATCAATGTTTTGACTCAAAATTTTAACAAGAAAGTTCTAAAACAAAAATAAAATCACGATATGCATATGAATAGGAATACTGTAAAAGTGTATGCTATTGTTGTACATCTCCTACAAGGATAAATATCAGGGAAGAATAAGACCATTTCCATGAATCCCATTGGTTCCAATTAGAATAGTAGAAAACAGGAATTCACTAAGACTAATACAAAACATGTAAGGACAAGGTATCTGAATCTATTATAGAATACCTGTTTTTGTACAAAGGAACACCTGCACACTCCTTTATTTTCCACAGGGCAAATGAATTTGCTGAGTCTTATCTGAAATCTGGTACTACCTTCCTGTCGTATTTTGTAATGCTGCCCCTAAGAGGACCTTTGAGAAAATCCAACCTACACAATATCTGAGAGGCTTTTTCCATATCTGTCCCTATTACAGACTTCCTTCTGTAGTGTCTCCTGAGTCCACAAACCAACTGCCTGTCCCCATGAAACAAGGTACAGCCAGGGGGCCCCTGCAATAGGGATTTGTAATGGGGTCAAGAACTCAGGGTGCCCAGAAATATCAGAAAAAATATAGGATGTCCTCACCCCAACAAGTCTGAACTGGGGATGGGACACATGGAGCAGGGCCACTGAGAGTTGTTCTGCATAGCAACAGTTTTACAACTAACCTCAGCCATGGTTATTTAACATATCTATAACTTTTGGTTTTGCAAATATGTTAAATAGCTGTGGCCATGCTTTGAGCCAAGGAGATGGGAGTGACTTCCCCCCAGGATGTAACTGGGAAGCAACTCCCCCTGGTTACACCCCTTTGTGAGAGCTTGGAGATGATTTGCTCCATGCCATGGGGCCATCCATGCCTGCCAGGACTAAGGCAGCCCAGTAAAGCCAGAAAAATAGGGGAATGCTGGCAGGTGTAGCCAATTGTGGAAGGAATCAGAAATGGGGATACAGAGGAAGACTGGCACTGGGATTTAAACAGCTTTGGGGCTCCCTTTGCCACGCAGCTTAGGAAGCCAGAAAGCAAGGGGTAGTAGTGATGCAGAGCTCTCTCTTAGCAGTTTGGAAGAATGCAGGAGAGATGCTGTGGGAAAGGGTGAAAGGGTGAAAGGACTCTTGCTGGTGTGTCATGAGAAGGTGTCATGTGGGTTTGGATTAAGAACTGGAGATCCCGGTGACACAGCTGGTGGTGCTGGGAACTGAGGGAGGCCAGTCAGCAGAGCACAGATCAGTGGGGAGAACCAGGGGCTACCAGAGCCATGGACTTCTATTTCTTTTCCTGAGACTGAGCAAAGAAGAGAAGGAAGGACTGTGTGAATTTGTGGGTGTTTTAAGGGTCTTTGGGATCTTAATGAAGACATTAAGTCATTACTCTAAGTCTGTATAACCTTTGGTGAAAAGGAAAGGAATTATTTATTCAATCTCTGACATTGAGAGCTGTAATTCTCTGACAGCGGGCAAGGTAAACCTTAAAGTGGGGGACCCTGGGAGAAGTGGGGGGTGGAGGGCCCATTCGGTAATAGCATATTGTTCCCCGCCTCCATGGGTCCATTCTGTAACACCCACACATTAAGAAACCTATCATTGCAGAAGGTTATCTTCATAAGCTGCAATGTATAAGGCAATCTATAAAGTGAAATAAATCTTCTCTTAAAGTATACAATTTGCGTATTAGACAATTCTATATATATAGGTTCAACAGAGGAGGCTATGACGCAAGGGACAGATACTATTTTCCCATGAACTTCAAGGTTTTATACTTTCTGTATAGGGCTGTCCTGAAATTCTCTTGTACTCTACCTTCTTCCTTCAAAGAAGTAGCCGCTGGGGCTAGTGAAACACTTCAGGGCTCAGAGCCAGGAAACTTAAGTTGGGGGAACCTAAAGCAGTAGCAGAGTGAGGCTGGACTGATAGAAGGGAAGATCAAACCCCCAATTTTTATACTAAACAATCCAAGAGAAATTTTTATATACTCAGCCAAGCAGGATGTAACGACTCTGACTTTCCACTCTGGACCATAGAGAATTAAGAGGGTAAGAGAGGCATCTTTTAAACTAGGAGAACTTTTTCTGCTGGGAATATTTGAGGTTTTCTTCCTACATTATTATGTAGGCCACTACCTTAACATTAAAACCTGGTGTTCCCAGTAGTGTTTTTATTAGTAAGTAGCTATGCAAAGATTAGGAAGTGGGACTTCAAGCAGTAAAGTTATGTGGACCTTTACCCTATCACCCTATTTGCTCAAGTAGGTGTATGTATTAATTTTGTTACAAAACTAGTAACTGAAATAACACATGAGCTCTTAACCCCTAGAATAGACAAAGGATTTAAGCAACAGGAAAATAGGCAATAGTATTAATTCTAGTAAACATGTATAACTTAGAGTGTAATGGCTGTGGAACAAGGTTCAGAATGTGGTGAAGGCTGAGAAGTCCCTGGGAATATAGAAAATAAATAAACAAAAACCCTAACATGGCTTAGA